GAATCGTACACACACCTATCAAAGCAACTGTTTCCAGTCACTGTTTGACCTTTTGACAGCATTGCGCAACAGACAAACGATCTAGTTGCTCGCAGAATGTGAACGTTAGAAGAACAGTCGACTGGGTGTTAGCCATTGCATTGAAAATAATTTCTCATCCGTGTGGATATTGTTATTACTTCTTGAGATTCGTATTAGGAGCAATTCTTATAGAAGGGTAATATTGATCAATTATGAATTGTTGAGGTGAATATGTAGTTTATGAACCTCAGAGAGTGATATTAACCGAGACGAAGCCGGAGTCAATATCTCTTTTTTATGTTCTCATAACAAGATAGGTATCAAAATAAAACTTTAATAGTTATATTTTTATATCAAAGTATTTTACCTTTGTTAACTTGTTTAGCCTGCATGGTTGAATGATAAACAATAGCATTATATTGTGGTATTGTTTGTGCCAGACACACAGTCAATTTATCTTAGTAAATCATTTGTTATGCCTATATGACAACATTGCCTTACTACAAGGATAAACAAAACTAAAATTGCCCATTTCCAATCGACTGGGTGAGGGGCGAACATGGAAAGAACTCTGTTATGGATAATAACAAAAATCACTAGGAGCGATATCACTTACGCCTTGTTTTTATATTTACGATTCTCGTTTTTATATTTACTGTCTGTCGAAAATATACTTATAATACGTATATATTATACTCGTACACCTTTTACAACGGTAATCGTATAGAAAATATACCGGAAATCGTGCACTTTGTGTACTGCCGGTCTTAATGGTTTAATACATTATATACTGTGTGCCCTAGTTACGTGTTGTAGAGCTCTTACCCTGTACACATGTTCAGCTATTCTAACACTGTGGGTATCAAAGACATCATATCTATAATGTATGTCGGTATATACCTCTCATGAATATCAAACGACCAATCGTAACCAAATGGGGAGTGATTTTTTAACACAGATTTAAAGTTAATAGGATCAGTATGGGCGGCCGTAGCGAGCTGTTGTGAATGGACCTTTTACTATCCACCAATGATATGGCGAAGACTATAAATAGGCCGCAGTGTCTTTGCGTACATTTAATCTTGTGAATGCAGCGTATACACACGAGTAGTATAAATACTACAGTATAGTGCTTCTGGTTCCTCGTGGATTACGGCTTCGGCCTTGCTCAACAAACTGCATACTGCTATTTAATCATTGGGAATTACAAAAGTATAATTTCTTGATTCAAACTGCAAGGTAAGTCTGTTATTTTCAATATTTAAAGTTAGTTTATTTCAATGTTATTCTAATCAGCTAGATTTAAAAAAACACTGTTTTTAAAAGTTTGATTTAATTAAATAATATAGGATATCTTATGAATTTTAAAAGAAATTTCCATTTTCACCAAAATGCAAACTAGGTATCTTTGGTAAGCTGGACAGTATGTTTTAGACATTTACGTCAGGATGCTGGACAAGGGATATTACGATAGTAACGTCAGATTGGACGCTGTAGGGGGGATTTTACGACAGTAACGTCAGATTGGACGATGCCCAGGGGAATTTACGACATTTACGTCAGGTAGGACTCCGGACAGAAGTTTACAACGGTAACGTCTGATAGGACGCTGGACAGGGTGTTTTATGTCATTAATGTCAAATAGGACGCCGGCCTGGATGTTTTACGACATTTATGTCGGGGTACAACCAGTGCAGTAAATAACAAGGTTAATAGCTTGTTACGTTGTCCTACAATATACCGCTATTCCGTTTTACATACCGCCAAGTCCCGGGGGAATCAATACTTATAAATATTGTACAACCGACCTCGGAATTACTGCCCAACTTGCGCTGATTTACGAGCTAAACATACAGTATAAAATGTCACAAACAAGCTATAACTGGTGTAAGTTACCATCATTATTACTGTACGAAGCGAAAAAATGGATGCAGCAGATGTAACCGTCCTAATTCCGTTACCTCCGTGAAAAACACGCGCATATTGTGATCAGCATATTTATTTGTCAATACTCCCCGCTATATATCATGCGTAAGTTGAATAAATGTTTGCAATTGTTGATATAAGCTGCTCAACTTTAGTGATTCTCCTAGAAAGGCTATTTACGTGTGTAGGTTAGGCCCCGGTAAACACCTGCGTTTATATACACACATGCGGTTACAGTACATAAAGCGCTACATTTTGCGGTTTCGACTACGCTGACAGAAGTGGAAATCACTATTTAACTGGTCCAACTTGTTGTTGGTTTATGATAGGGTGAAACCACAAACGAGACACCCGAACGGGGCCGCACGTGCACAGGAATACCTCCCTCACAAGATATGCACTCACGAAAGGCGTTCGTATATCCCCCTTAACATCTTTTATGTATAGAAAGGTTTTATCGACGTGTCATCATTAAACACATCGACTGTGATCATTAATCTCTCATAAACAGACACAAATATGTTTTAAATGAAATATAAGCATATTTTAGTAGAAATTCCTAAACAGAAATTAATGGCCGAGATATTCGGTCTGTGCGCTTTATCTTAGGGGTCATTGAGTACATATCGGGCACCACCGCTCCGTGGTCAACAGTGAGTGCAACCGCGAATTGGCGTTGTAAGCGATTTATAAAGATTTAAACAAGTAAACAGCTTTGATCCAAATCCACTTTTCATATTAGGATCAGTTGCGTTAAGAAATAAATAGTGTATTATGTGTGTACTGTAAATCCGGTAAACTTGGCTACTGCCACGGACGGACGGCATACACGGGTTTGCTGGACTATATCAAAACTAATTGATCGTTCCTAGCTAGAGAGGTAGCCATGAAAGCATTTCATAGAGAAACCTTCTATAACGAAACAGTTTTTTTTCGAAAAAGACCTTTAATAAAATAACATGACTACAAAAAATCGACAAGAAGGTTGAGGTTGTGAGCCCAAGCTACTGGAGACCTACACCGACACACGTGTTAGAGATGTCTATTCGTAGGAGATAGGTACCTAGTGTTCTAAACGGAGGCTTGGTACCAGCTACGGACCTAAAAATCATTCAACACGTGGCGAACGCCCTAGCGGCAGGCATTCAAAAATGCTCCATTCTTGTATCGTTTTACACGAGTTTGCCCTGTGTGCAAGGGCTAGTGGATACCTGTACCGACCTAAACATGTTTAGTATATCAATGTCAATACCTTACAACAAGGCTATTTTAACGTGAACGTTTTTTTTCATTTTTATTTTTCCGTCGTCCATCTAGGGTTTCTTTTAACGATCCCAAAGCTGCACCAAGCTGTTATGTCACCTTATGTAGGGTTACCGTTGGTGCTGTTCCAGATAGTTTTTACCAGATTTTTTTGTACTTTTTAGTTTTTATTCTAACTTACAATATCGTTTTATACTGTTCACGTGAAATCTAATTAACCTTTTCGCTTTGTGCTGTTTACCTAACTCCTACGTCTGTTTACGAATCTTGTCGTTGGAACTGGAGGTTGACAATGAGATTAATACATGAAAGGGCGTCAACCGTTTTTACCACAATACAGTAGCAGTTCATTCCACCCGTCAACACGGGGTCAAATTGAGTGATGCCATATATCAAAAAGTCATCCAAGGGAATACAGTTATTGAACTACTCGTCCCTTTTCATACATAAAACAACCCGTTATGGTTTGAAAAGGTACTGACACAAGGAAATGGTGTTTCACTTGGTGTTTTACTTGTAGCTGTTCCGGCATAGCCTTTGCGAAAAATACCTACTCTCATTCCAGTGCAGACTGTAACTGCCATGGATCAAAATGTCTGAACGTGATTTAATTCAAAATTATTTTTCAATTGAAGGTAAAATTGTTTTGAATATGTCATGTCATATCGAAATGATCTTACATATGTTTGCCAATTATGAGCTATTTGCGCTAAGCATGTGAATGATACAGCACTTGGCACATCCCATGGAAAATAGGGGAATCGCTTGTTAAATTTCAACCGAATACAGAAAGAAGGAAAAAAAATCAAATGAATGTTGAATGACGCATTACCTTTGAAATAAGGTAAGATAATTATCGAGTGTGAATGTGAACGATTTAACGTAGGCTTAAAGGTGAACGAATATCGCTTTAATTTACATGTGTAGGATGTACGACCCCTTCCGGGCAATACTCGACATTCCATAAGTCGCTCCACTAATTGATTTGAAATAAGGACTATGGCGCTTGAAACATGAAAGACAACGTTAAGAGTCGGATGCAAGGTAAGGCCCGGCGATGGGCCAGGCTTGGATGCCAATATTAGCTCCCATCAGATACCGAATTCTTCGGTAAAGGCAGCCAAGGTATACGGTTGACATTATTCCAATTTAAATTACTCGTTGAGTTTAATACAAAAACAATGATTAGCATCTGTTTTACATTTTTAAAGTAATATCAAAAATATACGGTAAATAAAAACACTTGAGGTGTGTTTGTTATGGTGAATGTAACGTCAACAACCTCGCGGGAATTCGGTAACTTCAAAATTTTCGTCAATTTTGACAGTTTTCTTTCAGGACATTTATTGTTACAAATCTTTTCACTTCAAATCTTCCGAAACTGTTTATATTGGTCAACGGCTATCATTTATTTCACTTTAAAATGACGACTTATCATTCGGACTGGCTAACATTGTCACATCCAACAGCTATACCACATCCAAGGGTCGATGTCTTACAAACACATTAAGATACATATTCATATACTTTTCTACGATATAAAGTAATTTAAATTTATTCCTTATTTTCTTAAAATCAGAAAAAATAGTAATTGACCTTCGACTCAATCGTATATTTGATTTTCTAGTTAGAACACACAGGGAATTTACCCGGAGCGCGGGTCGTGCGTACATCAGGTAGCTACTTAAACGGGGACACCTATGATTCGCGGGCCGTGTTTACGGTACAATTGTACCAGTGTGACCCTATTTAAAGCGAATCTATAGGGCAGTCAGCAGAAGGCAGCTAGCGCCTGACTCGCTCTGACGTCGCGTTTTCTACCACTGCCATAGTATACACGGATCTTTAATATTTATATACACACACTTACTCAACTATGCAATGACATTGGAGTTGACTAGTATAAAGGGGGACTATGTCTATAAGTAAGCGACATACGGCAAGGCGCTTTAAGTAGTGTTTCTTTCTTATTACAGTGCTATGAAGACAGGAGGACATATGTTGGCCAAATTAAAATAAACTTTAGGGAGATTTCGGAACAATACCTCAGTGGATGTAATCAATCAGATATTTTAATTTAATTTATTTAAATCAACGTACTATGGCAGAACCCGCAATACGACAAGTGGCTAAGGGTGTGGGCCGGGCAGTGACCAAATCGGGTGTGAGGCGACACTTGGTAAGTGCTCCCGAGGGCCGGTCTGTTTCTGAGGATGTTGCAAGAACGGCCAAGCCAGGGGTATTGGACACTCATCGTCATCATAATAAAGTGCAACCCCCTGTAATGGACAGTCACCGCCATCAGGCTACCCTGGCTGCGGCACCAGCACAGTTTGTAGGTGCCGATACAACGACAGTGAAAACCATTCAGGATTTACCAGGTCCAAAGGGGCTACCAGTGCTGGGAACGGCCTATGAATACTTCAGGAAGGGCAACCGCGGGCAGATGCACAAGGTTCAGGTAAGCCGAGTGTTACGTATATTTAGTTCATGTTGACATTGCCTTCACGTTTACTGTCATTTTATATGCCCCTTTATTCTGTTTTGCTGCTGTGCAGTGACACGGTATGTACATTTGTACTACTGACGAAACTCGTATGCAGATAGGCATCAGTTGTAATGCACGAATTGTGTTCCAGTGGTGGAACCGTCGCAGCAACACGTATCGGTATGGCCGATTTGTATGCGATTAGCATAGAAAATAATCAGCAAATTGTCTAGTGTCATAATTTCAGTATAAACAAGCAATAATTCATGGATCAATAGTTATTTATTGACAAGCAATTGGCACAATATTTCAAGGGCATTGACATTAGATATTTAATGTCTAGTCGTACCTAGGATCGGGTCAGCCATCAATGGCTCCGTATCTTCAGTAGGACTGTGAAAAGCTCGTGCAGCTGAGTGATGCCAGGGTCTTCCCTACTTTCTGAACCCAACATACTTTATACTTTCGTAAGTAGATGGAATTCAAGAAAGGAATGCCACTTTTTGTTTATGAGCCAACCACCTGTTTGCCATATCATTTTCTCAACTCTGCACACCCCGTGTGCTAGATTTATCGTGTATCTTACCATTGATTGAATCCTTCACCACGGCGTGGCATATACCTTGTTCAGAAATAAACATGTATAGATGGGAGCCTGATATTTTGTTTGTCTGTAAAATATGGTTATTTCTGCCCAATCTACAAATTTCGTAATTAGACATGACAACGATATGTAGCTCAAACAATGAGTAGTCAGTAGTTTATTGCCATGTTTTAGCTACATAATAACTTGAAAGCAAATGACAATTTGATCAAGTAACTTTCATAGGAATGATTGATGAAGTCGATAACGAGGGTTGCAGCAGTTATTTGCAAGTCATTTGGAAACACGAAGAAGCTCTGTACCAAGGCCCGATTTGCTGGAGTATAAGTGTGGCTTAGTTGTAACTGGCGGTATTGTTGTATAGTACGTTATTTTTTAGTGCCCAGGTGTAATAGATGCAATGTAACGGGGTTGTCTGGGTTTACGGTGTATGGGGAAGATGGTACTGTTGTACCGATATTGTTTTCTCTAATCTGTTTGTTTATCTGTACACGTGGGAGGATTTCTGCTTTACATACGCACGACTTTTCCTTGTGGAGGTTGTAAGAATTTCGCTTGATGATCGTGGAATGTTGCTCCAGCGAGGTGAACTCGGTACACTTATACGGGTAGCAACCTTCTCATATTGAATATACCCGCATGTAAGTTTGGAGGCCCATTACCTGATTACTGTATGGTATTTTATAGGATAATGCGGGATTAAGCATCCAGGTCCAGCTGGTTACCGGTCTAATAGTTACAGAACTCGTAATAAGGCGAGAAAACTGACAAGTGTCAATCTTTTTTCTGCGCCGTGACGAATTAAATGATTTTATATAAACATGCAAAACGCATACTCTAACCACAATGTTAAATTAATGTATAACGTCGGACCAAATCTGTAAGCTCGCTTGTTCCTCGTGACACAAGCGACACATACCTGCCCGAGGTCATGTATCTCTAAAACATGCGAATGGAAAGATGAGAAGCTGTTATTTTTTGAAAAGGTGTCAAGGCTGAGCGAAAGAAAGGTGTCAAACTCGGGACTTTGACATTCCTACAATTCTTTGTATAAAACACAATCGCCCTGATATGGTCAGTGTGTTCGTTGGATCTGTCATCAGTAAGCTAAACTGATCCTTCTATGGGTATGATTAGTCTACCGGATGGCACTAGGTCTGTTCTGTTGCCTTAAACAGCGATCATGAAACCTTATATGTACATCGTAGGTACCCCGCTGTACCAGGTAATGGACTGACGACGAAGGCTAGAGGGTAATGGGTATAGGCCTAACTAGATCTACACCAAGTGAAGCTGTGACGGCATACCAATCAATAGCATTAACATATTGGAAGGATAGCTGCATTAGGTCAAAAGCCTACACAATAGACACGCTGCCCAGGTGTCACTGAGGCAATGAGAAAACCCAGGTGACGGGTTGAATCTGCAGTGCTACGCATTATATCCTCCGTGTGATGTATCTGGTTTCGGGCGACAGCCTGCAAAGGGGTTGCTGGAACATATGGCGTTACGTAGTACCCATATATCAGGCTGGAGTATGTCAAAGAATGTATTTAACATGATGTATATAGTAATAGAAAAATATGAATACAAGTATTGACAATGGCCTCCACATTCCGCCATTACCCTCCCGTACAGCACCAGTAACAACTACACGAGCACTAATGTTAGGTATATTTAGTGTAAGTCAATTAATGTTAACACCACTTATAGCCCGACTATATATATATACTACCCATTTATTGTCATACCCTCATTCATATGTTGAACATTATACAGAACACTATGCCTAATATTGCATTTAAAAAACTACATTAGATATCTAGCTAAAAATTAAACTTTGATGAAATGGCATAAATCTGCGAGTTCTGTATTCAGGATGACTATGGGGGCATGACTTGGGTCGGGTGTAGATGTTTAACCATCTTTACAATATAAAATTATAATTCTGAGGAGGATGTCTACACCCGGGTATAGATCAACCGACATGGCAGATCCATGTAAACTACAATATCCTGATAAGTTCCATCTCTGTTTATGATCTTACAATAGTAATGATCGTTATGATTTTAATAGCGTTGTTAATAAAGCATATGTTAATCTTTTTGATAAGTCAGTAGTAATAGTAGTTAAATGCCCAGGTGCCAGGTAATACTTGAGGAATATGCTACCTGTATAGGTCTAGGACTTTGCCGGCTTTATGTTGATACAAGGACGTGTTTATGTGTTTATGAACACTGTTGTTGTATACAGATCTTGTTTAGCTGTAACATATGAAGGCCGGACCATCTCCTATTCGAAACTTTAGCATGTTCTTTCACTGGTTAAACGACGGGGGCTTCATGCTGGCTGATATAGAAATAGCGCCTGAATGAGACCAGTCTTCACTACGGGAATGACAACTATTTGATGTGTCTGTTAAATAGATATTCACCAGTTATTGAACACGTTCGCCTGAAGGTAGTTTATATTGTACACGAGTGATATGGCGGAATTATAATGACACTGCTTTACACATGAGTAAATAGAGGGTCGCCCGAACCTTGAATGGGTGGCAGTGGCCTTTGTTAGCGGTAATGAGTTGTCTCTCCAGAGCTCGTCCTTAGGGAAGCTCGACTGTGAGGCAATCAGGGGACGTAGTCCCCAACTCGACCTGCACGCCATTGTCCGCGCTACCCATGGGCAACTTTACCACGCTGAATAGTAACGACTACTCCATTAGCTTCCCAGGAACCAACTACCGGCGGAGTTATCATTATACCCTGACCTGATCACTTCATTCAATGTCATTAGTACGCTGGCGACAGCTTGCAGATGGTGACAAACTTCCACAATAATACGGAGTTTTGTTCCGTTTAGTCTATAATGTTTAAGTCCTGCGACTTTACAAAGTAATTTGAGTAAAGTGTAATAAGCTATTATATTACTTATAGTGATGATTTTCATGTTTTATAATTCATATTTGTAATTATCATGTTGATAGATATCCCTTTGAAAATGATTACAATCTCTCATTTCAAATACTCCTTTGAGAACGTATGTTACCGATATTATATTTCACTGTGCGATTTGTCGTTCCATTCCGATGTGCAGTATTTTGATATGCTGTTAACCAACCTTGGTGCACAAGGGTTCTGATGCATGTATGCAATCGAAATGGAAATGACTAAATGTGCCTTATTTGAAATAATCAATAAAAAAAACAATTTGTTATCTTCTATCATTTCAGACAAATTTCCACAAAAAGTACGGAAAGTTTTTCAAGGAACAGTTGGGACCAGTAACGAATGTGTCGATCGCGGACCCGCGTCTGATAGAGGAGATCAGTCGAAAGGAGACGAAACTACCTTTTCGCCCGCCATACGAGTCATGGGTCCTTTACAAGAAAATGCGCGGCCAGAACGCTGGGATTATGTCCGGGTAGGTTCCTCATATCTAGTTAACACTTAAATGATAGATGCATACGTTACAAACCTATTGCTTTCTGTTGTTATCTATAAGGGGCATACACAAACTAGATAATGTTCCTGAACATTTTAGCTATATGTGCAATTATTTCGCCAACAATGTACACATTCATAGTTGTTTCTCAAGCTATATAGTATATACAGTATATATATCATGTTAAGTAAATCAATCATTTGTGTTTTCAAACGATTATGATATTTTTCATTTTGTAAAAAAAAATGCATTTTATCACACATAGAAATGTCATGCAACAATGCAACGACGTGTTACCTCATTGATGTCAGATATAACATTTCTATATAGATATAGGAATCGCATGTTTTCCTGACTATCAGTAAATGACGCACGTAGTGTTATGCATCCATGTTTAGTGTTTTCTAATAATGTACGTGCAAGCTTTATTTATCGCCTGGTAATACTTGGATGATTTGTGGCTGTATTAAATGACGTTAACGAACCTCACACAATGGCGGTGTCGGAGTACTGATAAGTGACACAAAGACAAGACGAACATTTGATCAGTTTAGCTAGTACAAAAGTCATAACTCATACTTAGATTTGATTTCCATTTTCATGCGTAATAATAGTAACGGTATTCTTCTTAACGTTCATGTGATAAAATTCGGGTGACAGAGTTGAGAGCCGAGTCAATATGGAGCTCCTTTTGGAGTTGTTTCTGAGACACAGCTGTCAGGCTTTATCTGAGGTATATATGCCCAGCACTTACCGTGTATACGTGGACTAGGAGAACAGGGAGGTGAACGGGTGCATACTCATCCAGTACCTAGCATCACCCGCACCAACACCCATTCCATATTCTCCCTTGCAGAGGGATAGACTTGAACCCTAATAACGAATTGAAATCGAACCATTTTTTTAACAATAGAACGGCAGTGTAGCCTTTCAACGTTAGGATATCGCGTAGTCGTAAACTATATCGTTACAGTGAGAGTAACAATGATTATATTTTGAGTAGAATTGAGAATATCGTACAGTGCATATACTGTTAAGATAACAATGCTAGTATGTTTTGTATGGCTGGGGTAACGTTTGGTAAAGAAACCCCTGTATAGAGTGTTTGTGTGCGTGTGTGGGGAGATAGCTGTCAATGTTCACTTGGAGTTCTCTACGATTTAAAAAAATGTCATGTCAATGACTATTACTTATCAATTATGTCCACTGTTTGTTATGTAGTGTTGGAGAAGAATGGAAAACTGCTAGAAGCGTTTTATCACAACGAATGCTGAAACCAAAGGTTGTGTCCGAGTACAGTGGGGTAATGAATGAAGTGTCTGACGCCTTCATGGACAGATTACGACTTCTCCGAGATACAAGTAACCAACAAGGCTTCATACCAGGATTGGTGAACGAACTCAACAAGTGGTCAACAGAAAGTACGTTCATTTTATATAGAAATTATCTATATATCTGTTGTTATGCCGAAATTATAGATGTAAGCCCACACAAATATACAATAACAAACTTCCATTACTAAAAGTATTTATAATCCGCCAACAGCAATATGCCAACTGTAGACAATATATATGGTTTTGTTTTAAATCTGATCGTTCGTCATAAAGGACGAAGCCGCTGAAAACAAGTTTCGCCCTTAAAAAGGAATAAATTAATTAAGTTAGGTATTATGCTTAATATGTGTGTAAACATGTTACAATTATGACATTTATCATTTTATGAAAATTTCTGATTAAGGAAATATTTTGTTCTGCGTTGCAGCAATTACAGCGGTGCTTCTAGAAAAACGACTTGGTTTTTACGATGAACGTGTGCCGCCAGAGGCACAGGAATTCATAGACTCTGTGATAAGCATGTTTTTAACAGGCCATCAGTTGATGGTGTTCGCCAATGTGCACAAAGCGCTCGGGACGAAAGTGTGGCGAGAGCACGTCAAGGCTATGGATTCCATATATAGAATAGGTAAGCTGGTAGGAGACATTTTACTTTATGTTCATTGCATGGAATAGAATTAAGCGTAATTTTGCAAATGATATAGGGCGTTATATACAATGTATATAGTTTATATTAATATACTTTAAGATAAAGTTGTTGGATACTTTTGAATAGCGTTAATCAAGTATTTATCACAGATTAAGCAGAAAAAACGACCATTGTAAATAATCACCTCATTGAACTGATGTACGATACCAAATCAATGCTGTGTATGTATCGATGTGGGAGAGTTTTATGAGTACGTCACAAATCTACAGCGAATTTATACAGTAAAGAGAGGTAGTGTCACCTTTTCATTTTAAAATATTTATAGGAATATAGTTTGATTAATTTCCTTCTCTTTTCTAGCTGAGAAACTCATCGATGAAAAATTGAATCAGTCCAAACGATTAGCAGATTTAGATGATAAGGAGTTTGAATCAGCCACGTCAAAAGGATCTGCGTTTTTAGACTACCTCTTTGCAAGCAAAAAACTATCCTCACAAGACATCAAAGTAAATACAACAGAACTCCTCCTCGGCGCTGTCGATACGGTAAGTGTCTGAGAACATTTTATTCAATGATTGGTCAATCTATGAAGTATATTTTTCTGAATTAAATGACTTTTATCTAGCGGTCGGAGCTTACTATAACTCTGTTTTCGTCAAAGAATTTCTTTGTGTGCGTCGGGACATGTAGTATCTCTGAAAAATACCGCTGTCCTACCAAAAAGGAAATTCTGGATGTTTTGCGTGATCAACGGTGTAAACATTATTATTTTTTTTATTTTTTTTTAAGGCGTTGTTACTGCAAGTAATATTTTTTTAAACGATGTTTGTGTTGTTAGCTAAGTCACGTTACTATCATAAATACAAGAAAACAAAAAAAAGTTTAATAAAGAGTACGGAATTTAAACTAAATGAATTCAAACAGCAGCAATGGAATGGGGTCTTTCAAACAAAACGTTGAGCAAAACTATTTATTACATTTTTATGTATCTTAGATCGCATTCATATCAGTAAGGAAAATCACCTCCACACGACTCCACTGCACGAAATAAGGTGCATCCATCAACCAACGCTCGCGCTAGTCTTTCATCGTATCTGATAAAGCTCGTAGAGGTAATTAATCGTTCTGCTTACCAGAAATAACTACTTTGATAAGAGGTAAACGGGTCTTCCTTCACACCTATGTACGTGAAAGGTCACCTTTTTAACTATCACACCAAGCTACTTGATTTGGCTGGGAGACGCGTGCAACGCTCGTCGAGCGGGTATCGGCTTGCGAATCAGATCAAGACAAAGTGGAGCGTCCAACACGCACACTTATCCAACTGTTTCCCTCTTAACAGTATAGGTAACCACGCAGAAATAAACACTGAAAGAGGTTGATTCCGTTGGTGGTCGAATTAGTATTCGATTAGTTGGTATATTAAGAACGACGATTGTCCTTTAAGTTGATTTGAATGCGATGATAGCCTATAAGGCTGGATTATTTGTCCTGCTGGAGATGGATTGGCAAGTGGGGTTGCGTGTACCTGCCGACAATTTTCATTCCGGCTATCTCCTCTCCGAATATTAGTATTATAATCATGAGCAAGCCTTTTCAGAGATCAGCAAAACCCATACCATGCACTAGTTCGGCTCAGTGAACATGCGCACTGTCGGAGTATACGTTACATTCTCTCGAGCCGTCTCCCCCTTGCGCTATCGCTACTCTGATCGTCATGCCTCACGATGTAGGCAGAACATGATCTACTCCGGTATTTAATCGCCATTTACCACTTAATTAAGATAGCTTACACGTTGTTGACACTAAATTGACCGGAAGAGGCTATTGTTCATGATAAACAACCGAATGAATGTTGTAAACGAAACGAAGCATACGAATCATGTCATTAATTAAATGTCATTACTTTTTTATTGTAGGCAGCAAATGGGTTGGGCTTTGCGATGTGCCTTCTAGCTCAGAATCCGCGAGTACAGGAGAGGTTTCATCGAGAAGTGCAAGAGCAGTATGGAAAAGGGAAACATGTGAATTATAACGATTTACAAGAGGCCAGTTACGTCAAAGCAATTGTGAAAGAAACGTTAAGGTATGATCACTTGACAAGTTTATATGTTCAAAATTAAATCCATACTTCATCTAGTCTCTATATCTTTACCAAATTATGATTAATTCAAAAGTGCATATATACATATTTATTCATTGCACTATGATACTATATTTTGTAGAATCTACCCAGTCATTCCCATTAATGCCCGGGTACTGTCGCAGGATACCGTCGTCGGTAACCACAGTATTCCAAAAGGAGTAAGTAATACCTACATTTCATTATTGCTTCTGGTATATTAGGCTGTACTGGAACCTGTTCTCAGCTTCTGGTATATCAGGCTGTACTGGAACCTGTTCTCAGCTTCTGGTATATCAGGTTGTACTGGAACCTGTTCTCAATATGCTAGTTTTTAATTGCGAATTTAAGCTTTTTATTTTATATTTTTATTTTTATTTTTATTAGATTTAATTTCCTCGTTTCCGTTTAATAATTTTATTTGCTCTGTACTTTCTCTAAATGCGTTTTTCACTGCGATGGATGTCTAGTTTACTGTACAAATATCTATTTTCTTCCCTTTGTAGACGTGTATCCTATTCAACAATTACACTATGTTCCACGACGAATCTTACTTTCCGGACCACGATGAGTTCCGGCCTGAACGATGGATCCGCAAAGGTCAACATAAGGAATGGGACCCGTTCACCACACTTGTGTTCGGGTTTGGAGCGAGGAGTTGTATCGGTAAGTAATGTTATGATGATATTATTCAACCACACTTGTTATTAATCTTCATTTCAGATGTGTCCACTCTTTCATTTAACAAAGATAATTGGAGACTGTAAATATTTATTGAATTTAAAAACACTCGTTTACGAAGGACACATTTTCTGCATGTCTTCATTAAGGTCGACGACAAACACAGCATATTTTAGATTGTGGTTTTTTTCTAAGAGTATGTTTTCCTTATGTTTTTCAGGTAGGAGGGTGGCTGAACAAGAGCTGTACATCGCGCTAATGAAAGTAAGTCGGCGATTCACATGCTTATAAGACTATTAATAGTACATGAAGCTTTCTATTCTCAAGTAAATTTCATAATAAATCGTAAGAAATACCGCATTAGTTTAAAATCAGAGGTACAACGGTTGTATGCTATCTTGTTGGCAAGCAGATGATGCGTTTTATTGCATTTTAAGTATCTATGTAACATATACACGTTTCTTGTTATTGCAGATTACACAGAATTTCTGGCTCGAGCCAACAGGGGATCCCGTAGAACCAACCCTAAGGACGATACTTACGCAAAAGGAAATCCCAGTACAATTTATCGACCGGTAGATGAGTGATAAGGGACAATGATTGGCACGAGAATGTTACGTCAGCTGCCTTCATTGGTAACACCCTTCAGAAGACGAGGTCTCCAGACACTGGATAGCTCGCCAGTCAATACAGCGCTGTTAACACACTGTAAACGATTTAAAATCTGGTGAATTGTCAAGACGTTAGAGATGCTGTATATTACCTGGGAACATCGATGTGGAAATGACAATTTAATGGACAGTTACAGACACCTAGTGTTACTAATGGGAACTCCTTATGCCTAAAAGCATTACGCTATACTTGCATGTGTTGATAAGCTCTGGCAGCCAGTAATCGGTTTCGTCTTTCTGCAAGAACAATCAACTGATGTCCAGATTGGTGAGGTGGTATCCAAGGTCACCAGTAACAGTTCTATGACGCTGATACAGTGATTGTGTTTCCGTAATACGGAGTATTTGAATGGGTTCTGTCATTCCCATCATCCGAGCAGTGTCGTCCTCTTCGCACACCTTACAAGATTGAGTACCTGGCGGGGAAGGAGGACATGGTCACCAAGCACACTGACTGATGAGGCAATAGCGAGTTTTGCACTTCACTATGATGGCAGCCTGTCTGTGATGAACTCACCAACGCTAATTTCACACAAAATGTTGTGATGTATGAGGGTTGTCTGATATTGTACAGAACGTGCCATATGGCATAAATTTTCGTGCGGGTGGACATGCATGTACATTTCGGGTATGACGGGTGAATTAGGCCTGGAAGGACCAGAGCTAATTTCTTTGTATATGTATTCTTTCATTACGGTAAACCATTACTCATCGTAACTACATTGCTTAAATGTGCGTTTGATTAGTTTCATTTACATGAGAGTGTTTTGTGTAATTGAAACATCTTCAGATCGATGGACGATCTAAGTGATGTTACAAATATTAACTGTAAGTTATCTGAAGCCTACATGTAAGATTTTACTAGTATGACTGCTTAACATTAAGTCCCATTTATATAATAAAAAGCAGGGTCATTATAAGTATTGTGTTCGGAAAGCCTCATGGCATATCACGACTGTCCTTCTGCCGCCATGTTGTGCCTCTACTGCGGACTGAACACGGGTATCTTGTAAAAAATCATCAAACATATCTTCTTTTCATTTATCATGAATAATCAGTTGTGATTTCTCATACCATGTTAACTTGTGTTAGCTTTCGTCTAAGTATGTTTCGTTTAAAACAGCAATGCAATGTGTGAGTGTGGTTCAATGTTTTATGTATTGTGATAGAGGTGTAAATACGTGTCCTATATTTATTGTTATACCAGGAAGTCGACGACGATCTTGGTGTAGTTGGTGAGGTATTTCGTATTATTTATTTGACAAAAAAAACTTTTCTTTACAATAAACATCTTGAGACGTCGACGCATCCGTCAATGGTATAATGGTCTAGATGCTTGTTTGTAAAAACGATGTTTTCAAATTTGGAAACTATACGATGTATGAGAAGGAATTTAATTGCTATTTATTAGATACATATATACATGATTAAACTATATAAGTATAAACCATCATATCGTTAAAAAAGTATAAATATTCCTTCTTCAAGTTTCACCTATAAATTTCATGCAATAAAAATCAGATAATGTCTATATTCAGCAGTGGCTGGGATATAACCGGACACTTAGGTATGTGTGATGTCTACAAGTGAAATGTGATGCTTACTTTTGGCGGTTAGTGTTTCATACAATTTGAATGGGGTTTTATGAGTTATAAGCCTATTCAAATGCACATTTCAACTGTGAAACAGGCCGTGATGTTTGGTGGTGTTATTCTAAGCGGTCTAGTTATTACGCTTAAACTAGAGACAGAACTCAAGTTAAGCCCAATACTTTCTTACTGTGTGGGACAGAATTTCGTTCTTTTTTTAAGTTAACGGTCGTTTTCATAACGTGCGGTTTCGCTTACAGTTAAAGATGCAGACCTCTGGAGTTATTTGTAGCTGTTTATCTAGACACAATCCTTTAACATTGAGAAATAAATACTAAATAATAAAGGTAGACTATTATTTGTTAAACCAATTATGTAATCAAATGTGATTTTAAAGACCGTTTTATACAACAGATAAGGATTCTATATATGACATCAAGGTGTATGACACTACACACGTACTGTTACCTGGGGGAAGAATCACACAAACCGACATGTAGTGGTAACTATCCTCTATCTCCTAGCGACGCGATTGAACAATTTGTTATTCCTTACTCATGTTAAGAAGTAACGTTTTATTATTATTTGTTGTATCTGATTGTTTGCATAATAGACTATGTAAAAAGATCACTAATGCTATATATACAACGTTTACGTGGAAGCATCAGTGACTTGCGAAATTGTTGAATAAAATAAACAAAAACACCTTATGCTTATTTTTGTTTTTCTTGTGTTTGAGGCGCATGATGATAAACGTTCCAAACGACATATCTTCATATAAACCATATCTATAGTTACTGAGAACTGGTGTGTAATTATTTCATATCTTTAGCTAATCCTATGATTTAGATCTATCTTTTGACGAAATATCGTCTGTGCATTCAATGTATATCGAACTTATAAATGGTTTATACCTCATTATTTCATCACAGGTATTCTGCTTTCACATTCCTGGTAGCTGTGACGTAATACGTCGGTTATTTGTGTACTGATTAGCTATTAGGTTTGATAGCTAATTGTTTGACCTTTACCAAACAACATTGAATAATAAATCGGGAGGCGTCCCGAACGTGTGTCAAGGTCGTTTACGCATTACACAAATACTCGGATTACTACGTAGCATTAAGGTTATAGTCATACGACAGAGTTGAAGTGGGAATTTTACACGTGGGAATAGTTATACCCATGTATCCTGTCTGTACAGAACCCTACACCACCCAACCAGGGAAACCGAGTACGTGACCGGACAGAACCCTACACCACCCAACCAGGGAATACGAGTACGTGACCGGACAGAACCCTACACCACCCAACCAGGGAATACGAGTACGTGACCGGACACCTGACTGGTGTGTTCTCACAATGTCAATTTAAAATACCACAGTAAAAGTAGAATAAAACATTGTCTAATAAACGTACTTTTACGCGAGTGACCTATGAAGCCTGCAGGTGGCCAGTTACGATATTTATTTCCAAAGAGCACACATCCTTTCTTGCATATGTATATCTCACCTGCTGGTTTTGTTATTTTAACCCTTAGGATGTAAACATTACCCTTTTATGTAAGATAAGGTCAACTGATATAAACGTTAGTACTGGGGTACTTATATATTTTTAAGTCAATGTTTTTTGGCGAAAATGTAGGGACAACCAATTGGCAAGAAGATTTTCACCTATCGTCACCAAGATTTAGTTACCACGATTTTAATTGATCTGCTTGTACTTGATTTCAAAACAAGGACACACATTTAGATCCGGTCCTTGAGTGCTAGGTAAAGTCACTTACTTGGCCTGAGTTTTGCACACATACCGATTTATGTTTTATTGTCACCACACACAGAGATCATCATAACGACGGGCGTTAGGAACGTTACTATACTATTAGGCATTGTGTGAGGTAAAACACGGAGTAAGTTTTTAGTGTTACGGTGGGAAATGTAGATCAACTTTGACATTGCAGTTACCAGACTGAGCTTTATCGAAAACATATCTCTGTCCATGCATATAAACAATTTGTGCAGCGCATAGCATGGACACCACAACTACCAGAGCCCAAAACACCACAGACGATACACGGATTAGAAAACAGTAAACATCCATTGTAAATTTTTACAAAATCTGTTAGCAAAGTTGCTTGACATGATCTTAAAATGACAGAATATTCATGCTTCACTGAAAACTGGGTGTTAGTTCTACTAGAGATTCACCGCAATAACAGCTGAGTTTTAGTACTTTTAGAGAGCTTGGTATTTGTACTGTTGAAGGTTGACCGCAAAGGAAACTGGGTGATAGTGTACCTAGAGGTTTACCGACATAGGAAGTGGGTTAGAATTACAGGTGGTTCATTGCCACATGAATCGGATGTAAGTAAACCTGGGGGTTACCACCACATGGACTAGACGTTAGTACAACAATAGGTTCTCCGCCACACGAAGTGGGTATTAGTACTACTGGTGGTCCATCACCACATCAATAGGTTGTTAGTAAAATGGGGGGTATACCGCAACATGAACTTTGATAGCATTGTACTTAGAAACAACTCAATAACCGGAAATAATTTGTCGTGTGAAAACTGTTTGGACTTCGTAGTGCCACAGTGTAGGTAAATCTCACTTATCGACCTTGTATCTCCCACAGATATGTGTTAGAGTTCCTGTAATTAGTAGATTGGCCTACATGATATATATTTCGTACTTGTTATCACCTTCCTAAAGGTAAGGTTCGACCACCTGATGTGGTCAGTCACCAATATAACAGTAGTAACAGTCAACGTCCGTAACCATTTGTACCGAGAATAGTGAGGACACAAATAATAATGAACATTATATAAGAAACACTGATTAAAAGTGTATACTGTGAGCAATGATGTTCTGTAGATACGGCAAATCAAAATATTCATTACATTACATGTATAATACGGTATTACCTGTATACAGCAGAATTATAAACACTTCATTACATGTGTAAAACGGTATCACCTGTATACAGCAGAATTATAAACACTTCATTTCATGTATAAAACGGTATTACCTGTATACAGCAGAATTATAAACCCTTCATTACATGTATAAAACGGTATTACCTGTATACAACAGAATTATAAACACTTCATTACATGTATAAGACGGTATTACCTGTATACAGCAGAATTATAAACACTTCATTACAGGTGTAAAACGGTATCAACTGTGTACAGCAGAATTATAAACACTTCATTACATGTGTAAAACGGTATTACATATACCTTTATACAGCAGAATTATAAACACTTCATTATATGTATAAAACGGTATCAACTGTGTACAGCAGCATTATAAACACTTCATTACATGTATAAAACGGTATTACCTGTATACAGCAGAATTATAAACACTTCATTACATGTATAAAACGGTATTACCTGTATACAGCAGAATTATAAACACTTCATTACATGTATAAAACGGTATTACCTGTATACAGCAGAATTATAAACACTTCATTACATGTATAAAACGGTATTACCTGTATACAGCAGAATTATAAACACTTCATTACATGTATAAAACGGTATTACCTGTATACAGCAGAATTATAAACACTTCATTACATGTATAAAACGGTATTACCTGTATACAGCAGAATTATAAACACTTCATTACATGTATAAAACGGTATTACCTGTATACAGCAGAATTATAAACACTTCATTACATGTATAAAACGGTATTACCTGTATACAGCAGAATTATAAACACTTCATTACATGTATAAAACGGTATTACCTGTATACAGCAGAATTATAAACACTTCATTACATGTATAAAACGGTATTACCTGTATACAGCAGAATTATAAACACTTCATTACATGTATAAAACGGTATTACCTGTATACAGCAGAATTATAAACACTTCATTACATGTATAAAACGGTATTACCTGTATACAGCAGAATTATAAACACTTCATTACATGTATAAAACGGTATTACCTGTATACAGCAGAATTATAAACACTTCATTACATGTATAAAACGGTATTACCTGTATACAGCAGAATTATAAACACTTCATTACATGTATAAAACGGTATTACCTGTATACAGCAGAATTATAAACACTTCATTACATGTATAAAACGGTATTACCTGTATACAGCAGAATTATAAACACTTCATTACATGTATAAAACGGTATTACCTGTATACAGCAGAATTATAAACACTTCATTACATGTATAAAACGGTATTACCTGTATACAGCAGAATTATAAACACTTCATTACATGTATAAAACGGTATTACCTGTATACAGCAGAATTATAAACACTTCATTACATGTATAAAACGGTATTACCTGTATACAGCAGAATTATAAACACTTCATTACATGTATAAAACGGTATTACCTGTATACAGCAGAATTATAAACACTTCATTACATGTATAAAACGGTATTACCTGTATACAGCAGAATTATAAACACTTCATTACATGTATAAAACGGTATTACCTGTATACAGCAGAATTATAAACACTTCATTACATGTATAAAACGGTATTACCTGTATACAGCAGAATTATAAACACTTCATTACATGTATAAAACGGTATTACCTGTATACAGCAGAATTATAAACACTTCATTACATGTATAAAACGGTATTACCTGTATACAGCAGAATTATAAACACTTCATTACATGTATAAAACGGTATTACCTGTATACAGCAGAATTATAAACACTTCATTACATGTATAAAACGGTATTACCTGTATACAGCAGAATTATAAACACTTCATTACATGTATAAAACGGTATTACCTGTATACAGCAGAATTATAAACACTTCATTACATGTATAAAACGGTATTACCTGTATACAGCAGAATTATAAACACTTCATTACATGTATAAAACGGTATTACCTGTATACAGCAGAATTATAAACACTTCATTACATGTATAAAACGGTATTACCTGTATACAGCAGAATTATAAACACTTCATTACATGTATAAAACGGTATTACCTGTATACAGCAGAATTATAAACACTTCATTACATGTATAAAACGGTATTACCTGTATACAGCAGAATTATAAACACTTCATTACATGTATAAAACGGTATTACCTGTATACAGCAGAATTATAAACACTTCATTACATGTATAAAACGGTATTACCTGTATACAGCAGAATTATAAACACTTCATTACATGTATAAAACGGTATTACCTGTATACAGCAGAATTATAAACACTTCATTACATGTATAAAACGGTATTACCTGTATACAGCAGAATTATAAACACTTCATTACATGTATAAAACGGTATTACCTGTATACAGCAGAATTATAAACACTTCATTACATGTATAAAACGGTATTACCTGTATACAGCAGAATTATAAACACTTCATTACATGTATAAAACGGTATTACCTGTATACAGCAGAATTATAAACACTTCATTACATGTATAAAACGGTATTACCTGTATACAGCAGAATTATAAACACTTCATTACATGTATAAAACGGTATTACCTGTATACAGCAGAATTATAAACACTTCATTACATGTATAAAACGGTATTACCTGTATACAGCAGAATTATAAACACTTCATTACATGTATAAAACGGTATTACCTGTATACAGCAGAATTATAAACACTTCATTACATGTATAAAACGGTATTACCTGTATACAGCAGAATTA